AAATAAATATAGATGTGTGTGTGTGTGTGTGTGTGTGTGTGTGTGAGAGAGAGAGAGAGAGAGAGAGAGAGAGAGAGAGAGAGAGAGAGAGAGAGAGAGATCAAAGAGACTGAGAAAGAAAGATGAATTGACGACAGTTTGTGTGTGTGCACATTGGGGGGGGAGAGAAAGAGAGGAATGGAGAAAGAAAAAGAAACTAATAACAGTGTGTTTGTGTGTGTGTTTGTGTGTGTGACAACAGAGGGACACAGAAAGAGAAATTGTGTGTGTAAGAGAGGGGGGTGGCATTGGGGGAGTGAGAGGGTGAGTATGTGTGTTTTCCAGGAGGCACTGGGGATGCAGAAAGAAAGAGTGAAAGCAGGGGTTAGGGGGACAGGTAACAAGAGGAAGACAGGCATGGGGGGGGGAGAAGAAGACACAGAGGGGAAAAAGCAAAAGTGGAGAGAATGCAATGGCCCTTCATACAATTTCCTTATGGGTCCCCACTTATATATTCGAATAGTGAAGCCAGCCAAATCTGAAGATACATAAATGCAGTGATTGTAACTGTGAACAGACATAAGAACATAAGAGAAGCCAATGTTGGATCAGGCCGATGGCCCATCCAGTCCAACACTCTGTCACTCAGTGGCCAAAAATACCAGGTGCCATCAGGAGGTCCAGCAGTGGGGCCAGGACACTAGAAGCCCTCCCACTGTTTAACCTTTCCTCATAGGAAAAGTGTTCCAACCCTTTTATCATTCGAGTTGCCCTTTTCTGCACTTTTTCCAAAGCTATAATATCCTTTTTAAGGTGTGGTAACCAGAACTGCACACAGTATTCCAACCTGCTGTATGTATATACAGCTTCTAGGATTGCAGTTTTAAATAGTCTCCAAGCTTCCCCAATGGTTTTGACCCTTTCTACTTTTCCTTTCAGTTTCTTCCTCACATGTCCCCTCATATCAGAGAAATTACCCCTTTTAAAGTTAAAAGTGGTTGTGTCAGTCTTTTGGGGCAACTCCCTATTTATACAAATGTTGAACTCATTAAAATTATGATCAAATTTCCCAAGCGGTACAATCAAGACAGATCTTTCTACCAACCCAAAAAGTGTCCCAGGTTTGCAGAAAAATATGAAATGTTTAAAAAAAAAAAAAAAAAAAGATAAAAGGAGCACCTGTAGCTTTAAAAAATGGAAGCACTCAGTGGCAAGCTGCTAGGCAACCATGGCATTGTAGGCTTGATTTCCAGGGCTGTTTTGGCCTTTGAGGCCATTGGGGTCAGGCCAAGCAGCAACTACTGGGTGACTTGATACCACCAATTTGCACGACTCATCACCCAGGACTGGCCACTTTAACAGCAGCCACCCTATGAAAGCCAGTGTGGAGTAGCAGTTAGAGCTTCAGAGTACGGTGTGGGAAGCCTGGATTTCAATCACTAGTCTGCCATGGAAGCTCACTATGTGATGGTGTACCAATCACATGCTTTCAGCCTAACCTGACTCACAGGGTTGTTGTGAAGTTAAAAGGAAGAGAGGAAAATGATGTAAGCTGCTTTGGTCCTTCTATGGAAAAAGACAGAGTATAAATAAAGTAAATAACTAATAAATATAGCTGAAGATGGGAGGGAGATAAAAGACAGGTTGGTGAATGGCTGAGAAGAAGAGAATGAGGCAGGAAAAGGGGAGAGGATATGGGGGTTGCCAGGAAGAAGGAAAGAAGAAATAGTGTGGGGAGGGGGGTACAGGAGAAAATGGTGTGTGTCCCCCACAAGTCCTTGAGGGTTCCCTAGCATACAAATGGGCCTGGCCCAGTAGCTGGCACCATACAACTGTGCCATAGTTCCTAGGTAGAGGATGCTGAGGCAGGGAGAGAAAGCTGAAGACAGATGGACAGATACAGGTAGGCTGGCTAGGTAGGTTGACTGTTTGGTGGGAAGGAGAGAAGGAAGCAGGAAAAGGGGAGATGCTATGTGGGCTTTCAGGGAAGAGAAAGAGGAAATTTGGGGGGGGGGGATGAGATCCCCTCCATGAGTCCTTGCAGGTTCCCACTTGTTATATCCCTAATTACTAACTAAACATATACATTAAAGGGGTAATATGAGAATGAAACATAGGATATGTTGTTTAAAGTAGACACAGGAAGGAGAGTCTCAGCAAGGAGAACATTAATCAACAGCAAATGATCACATGACAGCACAGGAATTATAAACCAGCTATGCCCACTTTTCAGTAGGAAAGACCAGTGTGAAAGTGCTTTTTATTGCTTGAATTTGCTTTGGGATTCTATAACAGCCACTAGTCATAGGTTTTTTTTCCTTCTTTTCTCCTTTCCTTGGCAAAATCATAGCAACACCAACTCAGACCTTCAGCTTCTCACTTTCACAAACCTTGGTGCAAGTCCATCTGGGGAATATGTTTCATTTTCATAACACAAGCAGCCTTTCCCCCCCTTTTGCTGTCAAGTCACAGATGACTTATGGAGACCCCACAGAGTTTTCGTGGCAAGAGCTGTGCAGAGATGGTTTGCCATTGCCTGCCTTAATAGGTGTAAACTACGAGGGAGGGCTCAGGGACTTGGCCCTTCCCTGAATTTTTCCAGGAAGGACTGGGCCTTCCCCAGGCAACCGGTGCCAGGGAATATTGAGTTTAAAACTTTTTCCCCCCTCTGGTCTAGAAAGAAGGAAGTCAGGCTCACCTTATTAATGTTAATTGAGCTAGCTGGATAGACAATGGGATGGTCAACTATTCCCCCTCCCTTCTCCAAGCATATATGTGGAGATACCAAATGCTAGAGTCTTTAGCAAGCTGAGTGGGGGAAAAGCTGAGTGGGGGAAAAGATTTGATAACATTCCTTGCAAGAAGAAGAAAAGGTCTCTTACAGCTAGATCCATCAGGTTTTTGGTTGTATCTTTGCATGCTCTAGGTTAATAACTAAGGTTTTTGAAATCCAGAACATATCAATTCTTGAATATGTTTGGTGTCTGTCGGAAAAGAAAGTATAGTCCTTAATCCTGGCTGGCTCCACCCACTTTCAATGTAGCAAATAGACTGCAAAGCCTCTGTTGGGCCCAACATACTTGCTGCACTCCAATTTACATTTGGGGGGGGGGGAAAGTGTCTCTATTTTATTTTATTTTACTTGGGTCTATATATCCTTGATAGGGGACAGTTGTTTTTTTTCATGGGGGGGCCTGCTTCAACCACTCCTAAGTTCTTCTTTCAATTTCCATTTCATTTCCATTTCAAAGCATAAGGCAGAAACAAGACTCCTGTAAATGAACATCCAGGAAAACATTTAAAATGTTCCCGTACAGGCTTTTCTCTGTTGCTTTCCTTACTGTCAAATTTGTGACCATTTGTTTGTCTTATGCACATGATATGTATATTTGCAGATCTTAAAGTGACTATTCTAAAAGTGAATTTAAAAAAAGGACACAGCAAGAGACCACTGAGATACCACTATAACCACTGGCCAACTCCCACCTCTTCCTGGGTTTAGCCCAGCCCAGGGGCATGGCTAGGGAGGTTCCCATGAGTTCCCAGCCCTCCCCCTAAATTTCTGGGGAGCCCCTTCCTAAATCCCACATGGCTCCACCTCCATAGATAGTGACAATGGCCTGTGATGCCACTGGCTCCTTCCAATGATGTCACTGGGCCCTGGTTCTTTTAAGGACCTAGCATAGCAATGCCTCAGGCCCAGCCCCAGCCCCCCCCCCCGGGAAATTGGAAAGCATACGCCCTTGTCTACCTCTGCATAGAGGCCTTGGACTTTCTTGGTGATCTGCCATCCAAATATTAACCAACTGACCCTGCTTAGCTTCCAAAATCTGATGAGAGCGGGTTAGCCTGGGCTATCCAGATCAGGGACAAGCAGCCTAGCCTCTTTTCAATGGGATCCCAATGGGATTCCAATTACAAAATTCAGATCTGGAAATATTTGGAATATTCTGAATAGGACAAAATTCGATGAAGTCCAAATACTTTCACAGCCAAGTTGCATATCTCTATTATTGTTTGCTAATCAGGAATAAATATTTTATGAATAGCTGCCTAGTATGATATAAGTAATGAAGCAAGCATTTATATGCTGTTGTGCAAATTGTTTTATTTCAACAATTTGAATTATGCTTGTGTTACAATTATAGAAATAAAATTCAATACAGATATCTAAATCCCCAAATTTAGGCTTTGACTGAGGACCCTTCCTCTGACCATGGAAGCCTTCTTCCAATAGAGCAGGTCTCTTCACTTAGTGGAACATAGTCATAGGATTCAGCCCACTAGGAGCATCAAGTTGTAGTGTTCAGTGTTTCATTTATCCTCCCAGTAAACCTATGTGGTATTTCCTTTTTAGTTCTAATTACCGATGGAGACCAGAGATGCAGTAATTTTTCAAATATTACCTATCAAGTCTTCGGAATTTGAACTCTAGTTTCACAAGTCCTTCAAAAATCTGTCCAAGAGGAATGATTAGATGACCACAGAACCTTAACATCCTATATTTGAGGAACTGAGTCAAATTGTACCCATAATGTAGGACTTAAAGAACTTGCAAATTACAAATGACATTACCGTATCTAATGAAGCAGCTGCACGAAGATCTGGCAGAAAGCCAACTTCTAGAAGATGTAGAAGAAAATTTTGATCTTCAATTCCATAGACCCTGTCAAGGAACAATACCATGGCTGCCTTGTGGTCTGGACAAAACCCCTCTGACATATCAGGTTCCACCACAGTACCATCTGAAAGAAATTAATCAATGATACAGCTAACTTCATAGAAACAAATTACATCTTAATGCTAATTCCTGCCACAAGGATTGGACATATTACTTTCTGTTAGAGTATTTTGATTTCGAAAGGCAACAATTTTACAATCTTAATAAATATAACATGGCAACCAAAATCCAGATTAATTCCTACTCCAATAAAAAGCACAATGGGCACTCCAAGATCAGACAGACTGGTACCTCCTTGCCATTGAAAAGACTGAGAAAACTCTGGCAGGTGTGAGAGCTCCATGTGAACATCAGGACTTTTACACCCAGGATTTTTTTCCTGGGGGAACGCACCAGAATGGAGTTCCAGAACCTTTTTGACAAAATTCTTTTAAAAATGTTTAAAAGTTCGTGAGTTTTCAGTATACAGACTGAAAACTTCATTTCCCTCTTGAGTATTATGACACCTCTTCCCCCCCCAAAAAAAAAGTTCCGCTTACAACTAGAAAGATTCCTACACTGGGAAAAGAGAAAATATGGTTCCTAATTACAACACATACTAAACAACATATAAATTTTAAAAAAAATTCCCATCCAATACTTCTAGGTATTGTTAAAATTAAGAAAGAGGAACTAATGTGAAAATCTAAAAATCACTAAAATAATAAATTGTACAATAATAAAATAGAGATCAAATATTGATACATGTGATCAATAAACAGTGGAAAAATATGAATGTGTATACTCTAAAATAATAAAAAGTCATGCTATTTTTTAAGTTTTCACATCAAATTTAATTAAATATGACTCAGCCTGCTCAGCTCATGCACTGCTCAGCTCATGCACAACTTCTTGTATGTACAAGGCCTCCTTGTGGAACAATGGGTACAATTAGTTAAATTGATAGACTTCCTTATGGCACCTGGCATTTTTGGCCACTGTGTGACAGTGTTGGACTGGATGGGCCACTGGCAACAACAAGACGACCTAAAGACTGAGTCCACACTTAGGAAACTGGATTCCAGTTGACCAGTATGTAGCAATCTAACCAGCCCCTTCCCAGTCCTTCTTGATGTCCAGGACAAACTGTCACAGGAACAACAGTCCTGATAAGGGCCAAAAACCCTCATGCCTTGGAATGCTACCTGCTTCCATTACCTGTGCTCAGTTCAGTTCAGTTTATTTCTACAGTCCTTAGACCAGTCATACAAAAAGAAGTACACCTTTGCAATATTCCAAGATCAGTACAACATTAAAAACAGATTAAAATTTAGTCTAATATCTTTTTTTCAACCCCCAAAGCGATATTTTTATAACATTTTCTATAAACTATAAACTACAAAGAAATAAGGGAGGGTATCTACAAACTACAGGTGAAAGGAAAGAAATACGTCTAAAAACCCAAAAGGTGGTTGCCATTACAAAGCATATAAAAATTTTGCTAAATTATTAAAGAGATTATTAGTTACACTGAATGTGATCAATATATGTATGCTTATGTTATCAAAATCAGTTAAAATAACTGTTCAAGAAATACCACAAAAGAACCGCTAATAATAACTAACTTCAGAGTCATTCAGCATCTCATTTCCCCCCCTTATATTCCTCAATTGATAATCTTGTTTGGGGACAGCTGCCCCACGTTGCGAATTGGAATCTTCTTCAGAAGTTGTAGCATCAGAGTCACTGTCGCTTCCTTTGTCACTGTCGTTGTCTTCTTTGTCGTCCTCTCCTGTAGAACCAAGTTACTGCTTCAGAAACTCCCGAGCTTTAATAGCAGTGTCAATTCTTTCTTGTCATTTATCTTAAAAAGGATACCCTTGGGTACCAGCCATCTGTAGAGGATGTTGTTTGTTTGCAAAAATCTTGCCAAGTCTTTAAATTTCTTTCTCTTCTTCCTAATTTCATATGGAATAGCTTTCAAAACCCTTCCTTGCCCTCGATTTTTAGGGACGTTCCTGATGTTGCTTTCAGGATTTGATCCCTCACATGCCTTTTTGAGAATCTGACCACTATCTCCCCTGGCAGATTTTTCTTCTTTATATATTCTGAATATGATCTATAGATCACATCCATCTCATTTTGAATATGATCTGCTTTTAAATCTGCAATCGGGGCCAAGGCATCACTCAGAATTTGTTTCAGATTCTCCCCCTTAGTTTCAGGGTGCCCCTGAAATCTCAGGACAAAGCTTGCTTTTTCCATTCGTAGTTGCAAGTGCTGTGATTCCAACATCTGCACACATTTTTTAACCTTTTTAGTATTGGCATCCACCTCCTTCACCATCTTGGCTGTCTGCTCAGTCTTTTTGGTAATTTCGCTTAGCTGGAGCTGCTGGGCTGCAAAGTTCTGATTTAAAGTTGTCAGTTGCTGGTTTATGTTTGTCATTTGTTCCAGCAGAGGCCGCAAAGAGTCTGCTAACATCTTTGAAATGTCTTTGGAAGTTTCCGGTCGGCTGACCAGCCCAGTTAGACTCGGACTTCCTGAAGAACGCTTGTTTCACTTGCTTATCCTTCTCAGTTTTTTTGCCCACCATCTTTGGGGATGTTTATCTTTAAGAGTAGTTTGCCATTCCCCTCGTCTGCTGCATCTTTAAATTTTGGAACTGGAGAGGGTTGTGCTTAATCGTCAAAGTTTTAGCGAGATAGTCTCTTATATTCCAACTCAGGGAATGCATTCTGCAGCAAGTAAGTTAAAGTTGTCTTCTTCTTACAGATAAGGTTGCATTAAAAAAAATGTTCTTAACAAAAATACAAACCCACCACTCCCTGTGTCCGGTAGTGACAGCTACGCCTCCCTGATGGGAGGTTCTTTTTCCACTCGATGCTTCGGGAAAAAGCCAGATTGCTCTTGTCGCTGCCGCCAACGGAGCACTGGCCAAACTCCCCTGCTCCCTTCCCTCTTCCTGAGCAAAGGGGGGGTCTCTCTCAGCACTAGAGACCCACAAATCGAGACGAAAAAGCCGGGGCGGCAGCAGACGAGGGGAATGGCAGATTGTGTTTATACAATGCACTCTCTAGCGAAAACAGAGCCAATGGCGACTGAAATATATAATTGGGATGATTTAAAATCTTTGATTGTGAAGACAATTAAATGTACTATCAAAGAGACTTGCAATACTGTACTGGAACAGAGTTTAATTAACTTAAAGGAATCTACAAGCAGCAAGGACACAGTTCTACAAAAAAACTTGAAAGATGAAGCACCAAAATTAAAACAAAAGGATACTACAAAACGACAGAAGAAGATGTACTACAAAAAAACTACAAAAAAGGAAGGAAAATGATTAAGAGAATGAGCACTGCTGTCAGTAAATTTGGAAAAACCAAATCAGTTCAAGAAGAAAAAAGAGCCAAAAATAGACAACTAAATGTTGCACTAAAACATTTTTCCTCTGCTGTAAAACACTCCTTTGGGAGACATGGAGACAAAAGGCAATGTAAGAAGAAAAAGTTACAACCAAACAGGATCCTAAGTACAAAGCCAATTTCAAAAAGAATTTACCAGACATATAAAAGCAAAAGACATAAAGAAAAGACTTTAAGGAGGAGAAAATACAGGACAAAAAAGAAAATTAAGATTGCTTTACAAAGGGATTTGAAAACTTTTGCCATTTCTATTATTTTTGCTATATGAAGGGCTCACAAAAGTTGGTTGGCAGTTAAATTGAAGTTCTGTGTTAGAAGGTGGAATAACAAGAGTGATGAGAATTGTGTTCTTTAGTTGCCAGGATTGGTAGAAAATTATTGGGAATTTAGTAATAAGTAAAAAAGATAGAAGTCATTGGGTCAAGAGCCGGGGAGAAATAGGATAGATTGAACTGATAGATCGAACTGATGTAAGTTCAAATGGAATGTGTTTGTTTTTCTGGTTTTTTTTAAAGGTTATGTAATAGGGGAAAATTAATGGAACCTAAGGAGTAGGAAAAAAAAGTGGGGAAATTAAATTGGAACGAAGAAAGAAAAGAACTATATCTTTAGCTAATACTAATTAGTGGTAACTGAGTAATAGTTTAAGAGGTAGAAACTTAAAGAATAACAAAGCAAGAGAATCATAATATATAACCAAGATGAATTTAAATATACAATGCTTAACATAATTTAATAGGTGATGCAAAAGAGACCCATAGGGATAGAAGATATGAGATATAAAAAGGTAACATGGGGAAAAATAGACAGATATAGGGGGTCGGCTTTTCACAGGTATTGAGATAATTTAAAGTAACGAAATTACAGGACAAGAGATGGAGAAAATGCAAGTTAATAGGATCTGAAAGAACATTGAAAAAGGATTACAACCTTATATTAATAGTTGGAATGGAATTATAAAAGGGCCTAAACCAAGGTGTGGTTTGCAGTAGATAAAAATGAAAGTGGCCATAATAGAAGGATTGTGGAAAACCTATAATAGAGCTTCGGAAGTGCATTAATTAAACAAAATAATGGCAGGACGGTAGAATATTTTTATTTATACATATTTTCCCCAATGATCTCAGCAAGATATTATTTAACCTCTCGGTTTGCATAAGATTAAAGTAATAGGTAAAAAATTTAGATCAATTATATGGTTGTAATGGTCGCACTGTGGTGCAAGAAACTAATCTCCTTTTATGTAACACTGTTTTGTTTGTTTGTTTTGTTTATTTGCAAAATTAGTAAAAAAATCATTAAAAAAAAGAATAGTTTGCCAAAGGTCTCTAAAGTTCGCACTAATGCTTGTAAATCTCTTGTGAAGTTCTTAAAACAGCTCTGTTTTGCTTTTATGGCTGCCTCCCCCCTTTGGAGATGCCTCTGTCTTTTCTTTGCATTTGGGAAGTTCCCTCCCTGCTTTTATTGCAGGAGGGGGAGGCTTTCTGCCTTTATCCTGGTGTTTTCGCTTTCATGGACTCACAGTTCATGTCGGCCTGAAGACCTCGCCAAAGGTACATGTTACTTGCTCGGCCTCCACGCGCTTGTCCCGGTCAGCAGCTTGAGATCCATAGTGGACACACAGCGGCAGGACCGTCAGGGCAAAAGGGAGCCTCACTTTTCTGGCAGCGTGCCAGAGGAGAGGCAACCCTTTAGCGCCCCATGGCTGGGGGCCCAACGCAAGGGCCCCAGGGGAGTGTGTACGATCACACCCTCTCCCAACCACTGGCGCGCAGATCGTGCCTCATATCTTTAATTAAATCACTAGGGGCATCATTTCCAGATTTAAGGTTTCCAAATTCATCCCTGGCAGGAACCATAGCATCACCTGTACACTGACATTTCCATGTCTTTAAAGAACCTTCCCCTAAAGGGAAGCATCCAGGCTTTCTTTGTTCAAGTGGTCTCTTGTATTCATCCTGAAAGACTCTGGTTGGACATATACCGAAAGTAGCTAGAAAACCTCTCATTTTATGTAGCATCAGTGGGATGGTAGTTTGCTAAAACATCAGTACCAGCCTCCATTTTTTGAAGGTATTTGGAAGTCTCTCATGAGATTCAAGATAGATCTCGTGGACTTCTAGTCAAAGGAGGCGGCTTAATGAATATATAATTTCTTGTTTGTTTCTCCAGTGATCTCTATTCACCAGGATCTGCGCTTTTTCCAATGCTACTTGGTTATTCCTCCATCACAGACTCCCATCCTTGTTGACCATTCCTACAGTCTCTGTACTCAGATTTGGGTGACAGTCATTAACAACATTAAGGACTCTTTTTTGTATTGAAGAGGAGTTGACCTCACTTTCATGCACAGGCTCTCTGGCTGCAGTTTCCTCAGTCCCTGACCCTTCTGATTTTCTCCTTAACAGCTCTTCCAGCATGTCAATTTTACTGGATAATTTGTTGAGTTGCTGGAATATAGCTATGACTGTCTCTGCTGTAAGGAGGCATTGATCTCCTATCATTTTAGCTAGGTTTGCTCTTGAAAATCCTTCCAAACTCTCCACAGTTGGAAGATTGGGAAAGCAGGGATCTGAGAAGGGTTCTATGCTGACAAATAAAACCTCCCCTCCTTTACTATCCGAAGGCTTCTCTTGTTCTTCAAGCAGCTGCTCAGCAGAGATATTGGAAGAGATTATATCTTCCAGCTGCTCCAGCAGGCTGAATCTGTTTTCACTAAGAGGGAAAGGTTCACTTATGTTTCCAGCATTTAACAGGGTTCTATGCAGAGTTGTTTTGAGGATTTATGGTAAGGAGTCCGGGAAGAGTCAGCATTTGAATTGTTTCTGGCCCTTTTCTTACTTTTGTTTTTGTTGTTCTTCATCATCTGCAGCTTCAGAGAGCAAGCCCAGCGGTTTATTGCTCCTTATCATGTAAGCCTTCCAGGGAGATTTATAACTCCTTTCAACTCCCTTGTTCAGCAGCCCTTCAGAACAGGCTCGACAACTGCCCACATTTCATATACCAAACACTTTCAGTTTTCACAGCATTTAAAACAATCTTCCTTTGGCTTGTAATCACGGAGCTCAGCAGTGAGCATCCAAGCCAGGCGTCGCCCTGACCGGAAGTCCTGGTAGCTACCTGTGCAACGTCTAGAGGATAAAACCAGCCACTTACTTGCACCTTGTATGCTATCTATATGAAAGAGCATTTGTTTCAAAGATACTTTTTGTGGCAGAAAAATATGTTAAACAATAAATAACTTTGATGTTGGGGTTATAGTATATGCTTACAAACCTAAAGTAACCGTCAGATAACACATTGCATAGGTTTCCTTGCTTTTGTTTTTATCAGTTTACTATCTTCTAATAAAGCTTATAATAATTATGTTTCTTTTTCACAATAACCAGCAGTTTCAATTCCCATCCTATACTATTTTATATATAAACTATATTCTGCTATTATATTCTCTCAAAATGATTTAATTTTTTCTGATTCATAGAATACATATTTAAATTTCCACATGTATTACCAAGGTAAACACTGAATTCAATCAGCTTTACTTTAATTTTATGGCAGCATGCAGAAGGAACAAAAATTGAGCTCAAATTTTCTTACCTTTTGCTATTGTTGGCATGTGGAAAGGAATACTAATTACACCCACCAAATCTTCTAAGGGAATCAAAGACCGCAGAATAGATCTGATTCTAATAGCTTCACCTTTGCCAGCATGGATTAACTAACAAAGAAATAATGTAAGCACATATTCATACTTGTATGCAGTTTTTATTCCAAGTACACATACTAATCTTTTTATAATATGTTTTACTTACTAATATTATAAATAACATACATGACATAAATTTCACAATGAATGGCTAAAATTATGGGGACTAGAACAAAGGATATCAATAAATGCAGGGCTATTTTTGGGCAGGAACGCACAGGAACGGAGTTCCGGCTGGCTCCCAAGTTGGCCACGCCCAGCAGGAACTCATTAGCATAATAGGCCACACCCAACAGCAGAAACTCATTAGGATTGGCTACATTAGGGGTGTGTGGCCTAACATGCAAAGGAGTTCCTGCTACAAAAAAGCCCTGGGTTTTGACAACAAACAAGGGAAACAGAATAACAAGCAAAAGGTGGGTGTGGCTGGATAACCACACTTCTGGTAACATGGGGGTGCGGCCTAATGTGCTAATGAGCTGTCCTGTCAGGGGTGTGGCCTAATATGCTAATGAGTTTCTGCTGTTGGGTGTGGCCTATTATGCTAATGAGTTCCAGGTGTTCACTGGCTTATTCTTTATTCATCTGGCTTGCATTTTTTTGAAACTGAATGGGAAAGTTGCAGTGCTAAGTATAGTTGCAAACTCAAATTCTCCAGTTTAAACTATCTCAATTACATGTGAGGCTAGCTCCTAACCAGATTTCCTCAGTGTTTCCTGATGCAGTTCACTTTGAGCACAGAAGTGTGCTGAGAAACATTGTGGCTGCATAGTGGCTGCTTTCGCCCCAATCCAAGAACCAGAGAAAAGGCAGCACCGAAGTCATGGTCACTTGAGATGTTAAACTGATCCATTTGTACAGGGTACAGAATTACTTGCTGTTTGTGTCCTCCTTTGCATCTGAGCAGTCAGAGGCAACCTTTAATTAGACTGCCAGCTAACTGGCTAGACTTCTAGCTGATCGGCAAGACTTTTCATCATGCAAAAAGCTGGGTTCTTGCAAGATTCACTGGGTTCAGAAGACACCAAAGGCACACAGAGCCACTAAGCAGTAATTTTTATATTAAAATCTTAAACTTAATGTTTTATTATTTTTACTAAGTGCCTTTTAAAACTGGAGGTAGTTGACAGATAAGTGGCAGGAGGGCCATTTAATCATGTAAGAAAGCAGCTCACTGAACAAGTGGTTGCCACTCACATTAAGCAAATCAACAGGCGTTTGAACATAATTAGTGACAACTAAAGCTCAGCCTAGAAAGTCTAAATCCATATTTGACTTGGCCAAGGATATAACAAGTAGCTTATTTTCTGTAAGATACCCTTGGAAAGAAACCACAGCAGTATTAGAGGATGCCTGGGTTGTGACAGAAACTATTTGTTCATACCACACAGATATTCCTTTAGCAAAAGTAATAAACCTACATGCATTTCTGGAGCACAGCGTCCTAAGAGATCAATCAAAGCGGCATAAAAAGTCATGATGGCATTCCCCATGTGAATTGTGTCATCCTCTTCTTCCACTTCACTTCTAACATTTTTTCCCAAGAGAAATAAAACACACAAAGCTGATAAGGTATTTTTACAATCACAACCCTCCTCCCCAAAAGAAAGAAAAAAAAGAATCAGAGAATTGCACATGATAACTTAAATTTAGACAAACCGAGGTTCGATCTCTGGCTTATTCCATTAAAACACTAAGGTACCAGACCTGATAAAATCATCAAGCATACTCCTAGAGGCTATTTACAGTGCTGACCCAGTTGTCTGACATAATAAAAAGTACCTCTTTATGTGCTTCCATTCTTCAGAAAAATTGTTCTGATTCTTTTAACATTACATCATAGGAAAATATGACTACCATTTAAAATTTATTTATTTACATTTTTGGCACAAACCATCACCACATACTGGGGGGGGGTCAGCTGTACGGAGGTCAATATTAATTCCTTTATACATGTGATGGATTGTGTCCTATTGTTCACAATTTAAAGAATTCTTCACAGACAAAAATAGTTAGCAACCCATCCTGAGAGCTTTGAAAAAGAGAATCTCTCTCATATATGTAACTGTAACACCATGTGAAATTTAGAAAGCATAAAAAACTATGTCCTGCCTCGCATTCAGTCAACTATATAATGCAAGGTAAAGGTAAAGGTTCCCTTGCTCGAAAGCCAGTCGAATCTGACTCTAGGGTTGCGGTGCTCATTTCCGTTTCAAAGACGAAGAGCCAGCGCTGTCCGAAGACATTTCCATGGCTTTCGAACTGCTAGGTTGGCAGGAGCTGGAACTAGAGACGGCACACTCATGCGGCACACTCGGGTCTCGATCATGCAAACGTTTGTATAAAAAGCATTATATTCTATTGTCATCATATGATAAAAAGAGAATGAATTAAGTTACTGATTTAGAAAGTAATACAAAATAAGCCAGATTCAAAGGAAAAATGTCTTCTGTCTGCAAATGTAGCCTACCCATCCTGTGTAATGACTGACAGAAAAGCTGTACCCAGGTCTTACCTGAAACCCCCCACTCAAGAGCATACACTCCATTTATATCTCATTTCTATTCGATCTTCCCTTTTATGATAACACAGAAACACTGTTTTTTAAAAAAAAAAAAATGGAGCTCTTATTCTTATTTTCATCATTAAAAGGTCAGGCTGTTAATAATGATGCTCTAAATACTGAAATGATAATAATGATATTTCTATAGCAACCTGTCCGTGCAGTGATACCATTGTCTTCTGCCAGCCAGTGAAGACATTTTTGTTTCTTCTGGCATTCCCCTACTGATCTTCCTTCCTGTTTATATTTTTAATTTTTTTGTTTTAAAATATGTATTGTTTTTATAATCATTTGTCACTTTGAGGTCTTACTTAGATGGAGAAAATGTTTTACATAAATAAATAATAAAATAAACATTCTGAGGCTCTGGTTTGTGTGCCTCTGTTGTCTGACATGATGGGTGGCCATGGTGACATGGCTTTTTCACCTCACAGCTATCTTACTTGAAAAGTTTGCCAAGTTTACAGTGCCAACTTAAAACATTTTTTAAAATTACCCAGACTTGCAGTTACATGTTTGCTGAGTGCGCTTAGACCCCCCCCCTTTTAAATATCTTTCTGTATTTCTAGGGCTTTTTAAAATTGCTATTGCTCTTTAACTCTGATTGGGGATATTTAATTACACTATCTTTTAGCTTGTGATGGTTTTAGACTACAGTTATTTAATTTTAATTTTTTATCTTGTTCTGTTACTTTTTAAAAAAAATTAATTGATGTTGCTTCTTTGTATTCCAATTAATTTCTGCAAGTTTTATTACTTTTATGACATCAATTCTATTTTTAAATTGTAATGAAATTGTTTTTCAATATTTCTTCTAATTCTCGACAGCCTTTGAGTGAGAGAACAGGCTATAAATAATTTAAATAACTATTCATACAAAGCAATTTGGTTTTGAACATGAGAGGATAAGCTTTTACTTTCTTTATAGTTATTCTAGTCACAAACAAGTGCCCATGGGCTAAATTTTAAATACAGTAAATACCATCAGACACTTCAGAGAACAGGTCTGGAGAAGATAATCACTCCCATTCTACCTACAATGTTTTATTGGATCCATTACTTGGTGAAGGTCCATCTCTTGTAGGATCTTCTGATATGTGTATGGCTTCCTCCATGGCAGCAAGCAGGCCATTCCCACCTTCTCCTCTCAGCGCTGGCCCAAAACATTCAGGACGTCGAATAAGTAGCCTGACCACCACATTAGCATTCTCTTCAACACTCTCTCCTACAACCATTCAGAACAGCCAATGATTTAACAAAGCTGATAAATAGGAAATATTATTTAAAAAATGTACATAGAAAGGAGACCAACTGTGCTAGGTGAACAAGCATAAGCACCATGATGCTTGTTGTCATGCCAGCTGGAACAGAGATTCTAGCTGTTTTACAACTCAGTTGCTATGAAAGCAAAAGAGGACACAATCCTCCCAATATTCAGTTCACCACCTAGTTTATGGACTGGTTGCATCAAATTTACTAGATCACTACAGGACTATATAAGACTTCCTGTTTACCTTTCTGTAATCTCTGAGACCTAGTAGTGGAGAGAAAATGGAAAAGAGGGGACAGGAGCAATAAACTAGAGAGGGAAATACTTGTTACAAGCTACATGAAAAGTAGGTGTATAGGAAGAATTAAGTTCTGATCTTCAAAGTACTGAAATAAGACTGACTTACATAACTGTTTAGGCATAACAAAAATATATACACAGTTAAGTTCTTCTAGTACCATTGCAAAACACAGCAAAACGAAGAAAATCCAAGTATCGTTCTCCTTCTACTGGATTCCATCCAATATCTGGGTAGCCCTTAGAAATCAGCAAAGGGCAGCTTTGCAAACCACATCCAGCCAAGTAGCGGACTACCTAAGAATAAGGCAAAATGAAAGAACAGGGTGTTTACTGCAAAAAAAAGGCTCAAGCCAGTTTTGTGGTAGTAAGTTCTCTTCTACTCCCTCTCATTAGCTTGACTTCTGCTACCTTTATCTTGTAGTAAAGTTGTGAGGAAACATATTTCATTACTATCTTTATCCTTGTAACTACTTGGATGCCTTATATAAATAGGATTGCCAGGCCTGAACTGGTAACCAGCAGGAGACTGGGAGAAGCAGGAACG